AGACTCTTAAATGTGTGTGTATGTGGGGGTGCCTGTGTTCTTTCAGAGCACAGGATTGGAAAGAGATATTTTACTAGCTCTGTGTTATTTTTTATGTCTTTGTTTACCATTCATACACTGCCAGGAGTGCTGGCAACTTCTAAGATATGTAAGATTCATCCCCTGAACAGATAATTTCTGTCAAGATAAAGGCTAAGGAAGTTGCTGGAGACAAAAAATGAAAACTGTGASTTGATCAAGAGATAATATTAAATCTTTCTTCAGGTTATGGGATTTTTTTTTTCTTAGTTGTGTTTTGTCTGTGGAAATGTGTGAAGCAAATTTGCAAGAGAAAGAAAAGGAAATAAGATTTCTGTTACATAGATTAGTGTGAAAAATAGCTGGAAATGAGTACAGAAGTACACTATGAAGAGCAGAAATGTGAAACCTGGTAGAGCAAAAGTGCGAAAGGATTAGTGTGGACAAGCGTGAGCAGAGGACCAGAGACAGAGGCATGCAGAGATCTTGATGAAAATCTCTGGTGCACCATGACTATGCATTACATTGGCATCTCTGTAGTATTTCACTTTTCCTTATTCAGGTACCTTCAGATTTCATTCCTAATTAAATACAATTTTACTACATATAAAGAGTCTTGTACTTTTTTATGTATTTTTGCTGAGTCAGTGAAAGCACTAAAGCAAATCTATTGAAAGTGCATTCTTTTGAAAAGCTGTGCAGCAAAGTTGTCAGTCATTAGGCATGATTAACTGTGGTTTTAATTCTTAGTCAAATCCCAAGAGTAGTTGAAAGACACTGGATCTTCTGTAATTGCTAGTCCCATGTGCTATACTTAAATAATATACCCAGAAAAGGTTATGAGGATCTATATCCTTGTAAATAAAATAGTATATCCCAAGTAAAAGMGTCATTACAAAGCACTGTGTAATTACATGTAAGTTTCCACCAGTTTTGTCCATCCTTATTTTGGCCTTTCCTTTGTGATGAGCTTCTAACCCAGAAYCAGAACAGACAACGTCTTTGATCAGAGGAGTCTTTATGTTGGGTCAGCTCTCCTCAGCGGGCTGAAAGATGAACCTGCAGGGGGACACTCCTAACATGGAGCTTGAGGGGAGAGACCATGGCTGACTGAGAAAATGTAACCTAACTGCACTTGGCAGAGGTGTGAGAGAGACCTGCTGCCCGCTTCTGAACCGCCTGTTTTCTGCTCAGGCATTTATCCCTGAGGTGGTTTAGAATGTGCTGGTGTTTCCTTGGGTTTGTCTGCTTCTGTGGAGTATCTATTGACACATTTTAATTTTGGAAAATGCTATTGCTTAGTAGGAGTATCTTGGGTTTTCTTTTGTTAGATATTATGTGGTTTGTTGTCACAGCACCATCCTGACTCACACAGCAGCAGTCTAGACTCTGGTTGGATACTATTGGGTCCTGAAACATGGACTGTTGGGATGAAGATTTGTTTTGTGAATGCTTCTACTGTGTCCTTGTACCTAAAAAGTCATGAAAATTACACTCCCTGGAGTATTAAGCATTTTAATATTAGTGAACAGTGGAAAAAATGTATGTGTGGATTACCTATTGGGTATTTATTTGCCATTAATCTTATTTATCTTATTTGACATTAGAATCAACATTCTGAATAATTACTACAAGGGTCGGATAATGCTGAAAGCTTCAGCTCTGCTTTTTTCGTCCATCTTTACAAGTCCTTGTAGCTACAGCTCCATAAATGTTGCTGGTTCCCTCCCCMCTTCATGGGTTGCTTTTTCTAAGAAGTCCTAGATACCTAGGAATCCACTTGATTATTAAGTAACATCAAGCCTAGTGCTCACTGCCARTAATAAAAATGCTTTCCTGCCAAATATGCACTCGTATCTCTTGGTTACTTAAATACCCACTGTTGTTGCTGAGTTTGAGAATTTTTTAGAATCTGTTTAAAATTCAGAATCCTGAAATGCAGTGTTTACAGGAGTGGAGTGTAACAAATAGCTTGAAGCCTTTCATAAACTGTATGTGTATATTTGGTGGATCTCATATCTTGTGTTGTCCTCATGTTTGTGTCACTCCACTTACTGAGTGGAACTCCTATGGATTTATCTGATGGATTAAGAGGAAGACTGGGCTTTGTAACTGAGCAAAATCCATGATTTGCCTCTGGCTTRCTTCAGAAAGCTGCAGTATTTGATGGTGAGAAATGACAGCTGACAAAAAAGGGTCTAAAATATTGTGGTGGGTTAACCCTGACTGAACACAAGCTGCCCACCAAGCCACCCTATCCCCGCTCCTCAGCTGGAGKGCAGGGTAGAAAATAAGATGGAAAAAAGTCATGGGTTCAGGGGCAGTTTAGTAAAGAAAAAGCAAAGGCCACGTGCAGAAGCAAAAGTAAACAAGTATTCATTATTTCCCATCAGCAGGTGATGTCCAGYCCCTCCCCAGGATGTAAGGTTTCAGGCTCCAATACATGTAGCAGTTGTTCCATGGGACAAATGTAGTAACAAATGGTCCCGTTCCTCCTTTTTCTTAGCTTTTATTGCTGCACAGGTATCAAATGGCATGGAATGTTCCTCTGGTCAGTTTGGGTCAGCCCTCTGACTGTGTCTTCTACTGAGATCTTACCTACCCGCAGCCTCCTGGGTGAGTGGGGGAATACTGGAGAGAGCCTTTATGCTGTGCATGCCCTGCTTAAAGTAGCCAAAATGCTGGTGTGTTATCAGCACCTTTCTGGCCACCAGTACAAAGTACAGCACTACGAGGGTTGCTGTACTTATTATCTCAACCAGACCCAACAGATTTAGCCACAGTAGTGATGTCATGGTCTTCTGTGGGGATGTGGGGTGCTGTATCTTAGGTCCTACAGCATTTCCCCAGGGAGAGCCAAAGCAAAACGGTATCACTGCAGTTGGCTCAATCTGGGCATTGACAGGACATGTGGGCAACTGCTCAGCTAAATCTGTGTTTGCTGATTCTGGTGACAGAGTGTCCCCTTACTGCTCAAATATGCATCTGTTCATATGTGTCAATGAACAGTATACATACAGGTCTCAAATGACACTTGGGGATTGTTCTATTATAAATTTAAGAGGAAAAAATAAGCAAAAGCAAAGGAAAATAATTGATCCATATTTTCATATTATCAGTATGTATTTTCTTAAAGAAACAAAAGCAGTCTGCTTCCCTACAAACTCTGAAATTAAGGTTGATTTTGTTGCCTTTTCTTTTTTTAATCTTGTTTTAGTCATGGGTTTCTARAAAGGGAGAATGATATGGCTTCTAGCTCCCTATTAATGGATATATACAGATAAGTTTTTAATCAGTACAAGGAATTACAGAGCTGTAATGTCTTGGCTTGGTAGTACTTCCGTAATATGCCTGTGTAAACAAAATACTTCATCAGTGATGGTTCATGAGCTATTTTGGGAAGTTCAATGAAGCAGTAATGACTTACCAAATTCTTTTCTGTGTTTGCAGGTCACTTGTCACCTCTGTAACTTTTCCGGCACAAGTCCCTCTATTTACAACGTGCAGAYTAGTGCCTGTCAGAGGCACTTCAAAGCATACTTTAGACAAATGTTGTTAGCTTTAAGTCCTGCATAAAATTCAATGTTCTTGAACAATTTCATTGCAGGACATTGGATAGTGCCTACTATGTAGTATTAGCATTTTACAAGTGAGACTTTGTGGAGGATTTACTTTCTTGTGAGCTATATTTAATCATTGCAGTTTGTGAGCAACTGCACAACTTGGCAACAACAGCCCTCTATAGCCAGTTAATGAGAATGTAATGAAAGTTGAAGTTCTTCRTACATTCAAAGTCACATAAGGAATACTGTGTGATGCATGCTATTACTGAAATGTGCCCTCTTCATTTCACTTGAAAAACCACTGGAAGAAACAGATGTCAGCAAGATTAGTTATTGTAGCTTTCCAGAAAGAAGCACAATCTTTTTTGGATCGTGACAGCATCTTCAAACCTAGAGTTGAAGTTGATTTTGATACAGGACATTTTTAACATAATAACATCTGACCGTAAATGGTAGGGGAGAGAAAAACTTGTAAGTTTAATGACATCTTGTGCCTGGTGCTGATTATAGATGTCTGTAAAGTTCATATTTGCATACTGGGTTTGGAACCAACTAAGCTTGCTTTGCTTTGAATTTCTGCTTTGTGTGTTCCCATTTGTTGTGATAGGGTTTGATTGTGAGACACCAGGAAATTATTCTTCCAGAGTAATAGTACATGTGGTTGTGAGGGGGTTTCACTACACGGTATTGAATATGGGGCTATAATGTCACTTATGGTTTGCAAAAAATGTTCAGGACATTTTATTTCCTATTGAGCGTGTTTTTATTAGGCAGATGCTACAGTGAAGAGTTGGTAAAAGTGCATAAATGAAACCATATCTCTCCCCTGCTGGAAGAGTTGGGTTTTTTTCCCAGCAACTGTGTTTAGCAATTTACTATTATGATTTCCCAGTAAAAGTCATAGTTAATTTGGTCAGTTAATGGAGACAGTTCTGATTTATGCTGGTGCAACAAAAAATAAAGTAATTGTGATTTCAGCTAGAATCGTTGGATGGCTATTTTGGCTTTTCYGCATGACCTGGACCTTGCATAGCTGGCACAGGAGAAGATACTGAAATTGATAGCTTTACAACTCCATTACAGTGTTGGTTTTCAGAGGATTTTTCTTAGCAGACTTGTTAATATTAGATTGTGTTTGTGTTGTGTGTGGACAAGGAGAATGGCATTACTGTACATCTCGTCAGTACACATCTTATCCTCAGGGCCTTGTTAGCACTGAAGTTTGCAATGTGGATATACAACCATAAAAGCTGCAGCGAAATATCCAAGGACGTTGTTTTCGTAAATAATCTACACAGAAGTGACCTTCAGCATATCAGTATTTGAAGATGTTTGGACTCCTTCCTTCTTCCCTTTGATTTTTTTTCCTCCCACACTCTGGTTTCAGTAGACTAATAATGAAATTCTCTTGTTTTGCAGACAAGAAGCCCGAAGCCGTCCCAGAGCCCACAGCACAATTTGGGTGACCAGACAGAACACCTCTCTGAAGCATCTGCTGATTCCTTAGAGGCCATGTCGGAGGGTGATTCTCCAACCCCCTTTTCGAGGGGCAGCCGCACRCGGGCCAGTCTTCCCGTTGTGCGGTCAGCAAACCAAACAAAGGAAAGATCACTGGGTAAGAGCCTGCCTCAGTCCTTCTCCATTCTGTGCTTAGTCTGTGTTTTCCATTTGTGGATTTAAAACAGTCTTTAAATAGCTTTGGGTTAAAAAAAGTAAAGACTTTGGTAGCACATTATGTTTCATGTCAGGTTGCTCTTTGGAAATGAACTCRTTATGGGATACCAAGTAACTCGGGGGGAATGGTGAAATTATTTTCGTAAGATCTGAAAGTGTGATGGGAGCATAGTAGACATGCAAGGAGAGAGATGCAGGCCCTGACATGAAGTRCTTAGTAATGGTTAAAACCCAATATTGCAAACACTTTCTGCCAAACCTGCACAATGTGTTTGCAATGAACTTAATACAAGGTTGTACCTTTATTTTCAGACAAGGATATGCAGGATTTTTCACTTTGTCATCTCTTCAAAACCAGATTTAGGTGAAAGAAACCTAGAGATATTATTACCTTAGTAATCCATCTTACTGAAGAGGTTTGGTGTTTATGTGGTGGTAGCTTTCCAAGCAGAGGAATTGAATGGGTATGCTGATGGCAATGCCCTTTACTTTGGGGCAGTGCCCTTCCGTCTGCACAGTGRCAAGAGCAATGTGTCAGTACAAGTGGACAGCTCTTCTTCCTGCATGCTTCCCATATCTCAGGGTTGAATTAAGYCCAACTGTGGACYAGAGCTCCTTTTATGATGGTGAATTTTGTGTCAGAGACTGTGCTCAGTTGATGTATGGTAGGAGTAAAGGCTGTTCTTTTGAGGGAAGACACCAGAGGGCAGTTAAAGCGTTATGGGAAGGCACGTAACTCATGTGCAGATTGCTGAGGAAGGCAGGTTTTGCTCATAGGTAATAAACTGAAATGCTGCTTTCCTGTAGGCTCATCTCCTAATATAGAGAGTGACATAAATTGAAGACTGGACTGTAAATCATACCATGCTTGTAAGCTTGTCACGGTGGTTTACTTGTCCCTCAATAATCTAAGACAGTTGCTGTCAAGAGTATTATGATATGTGACAAACATAACAAATGTGAAGAAAATAGGGCTGGAAGGGGTCACTGCCTCTCCCAGAGCTGCAACTGAAGAGCGGTGGGGCTGGGAGCAAGGGGCTGATCCCTGTCCGTGTCAGCTCACAAAGTGGCTGCCTCTGCTGGGCCACCAATATGCTGAGCTTTTGGAGGAGAAATTTGTTGAAAGACTTCAATCTCGACAAGACTTTTTGGTTTTGAGGTGTTTTTAAGAGCTCATTGTGTTTACTAAACATGCAGAGTATTCATCTCTGCCTGTAAGTCACTACTGGCTAGGGCACCCCCAGTACGGCTTATTTCRTCCCAGGATTTTCTGGAAAACTTCTGTTTGCTTCAGTGTGATRTAAAGTGGCTGAGCCTTTGCAGGTCCCTGTGCAACTCACAGTCCATCCCCACTGYGTGGGCTGAGGACTCAGTGCAAGTGGGGTCTCACCAGAGCAGAGTAGAGGGGCACAATCCCCCCCCTTGATCAGCTGCCCATGGTGTTTTTGGTGCAGCCCAGGACACGTTTGGCTCTCTGAGCTGGGAGTGCCCACAGCTGGCTCATGTCCAGCCTCTCATCCCCCAGCACCCCCAGTCCCCTCTGGGATGGGCTGCCCTCAATCTGTCCATCCCCAGCCTGTGCTGMTACCAGGGGGTGCCCTGACTCAGGGCAGCTTGCACCTGGTCTTGTTAAACCACATGAGATTCCCATGTGCCTAATTCTGGAGTTTTCCAGGKCCCTTTAGGTGGCATTCTGCTCTTCAGGCATGTCAACAGTTGCACACAGCTTGGTGTCACCTTGGAGCTTGGTGCAAATTTGCTGAGAGTGCACTCAATCCCTTCGTCTGTGTCATTTATGAAGATACTGAATTACATTGGTCCCAATACAGACCCCACGGGACACCACTTGCCCCTGATGTCCACTGGGACTCTGAGCCATTGACCACCACCCTCTGGATGTGACTGTCCAATTGCTTTCTTGCCCATGTTGCAGTCCTCTCATCAAATCCATCTTTCTTGAATTAGAGAGAAGGATGTTGTGGGGACTGTGTCAAAGGCTTTACAGCAGTCCATATAAAGGGTATCTGTAGCTCTTCCCTTGTCCAGCTGATGTAGAAACCCATCATAGAAGGCCACTAGGTTGGTCAGACAGGACTTGCCCTTGGTGAAGCTGTGCTCGCTGTCATGTCCATGTGCCACACACACGTGTGTGTATGTATGATCCTTCCCCCAAGTGTTCTCAGCCTCAAGGTATCTTCAGCTTAGGGATTTCCTGGTTATGGTTTCTGCCTKTATAATAACCATACAGAGATGTCTCCTCCAGGTGTTTGTTCAGTCCACCTTTGATCCCATGTAAATTTTTCACATCCACAACAGTGCATCTGTGACCTTGGCAGCAAGTTTCTGTTKGTTTATTGCCCAGCCATTGCTTTCCTGTTGTGCTTTGTTTTGTATTTGTTTATCAGCTCTAAGTTATGCCCCCTAGTCCTCGTGTTGGAAGTGACAGCAAACACCAGATTGCTATCTGCTTCCCCCAGGCCATATCTGATTTCTTTGGCCTGTCATTTCCCTCAGGTCATCTCTTCTCCAGGCTGAGAAGTGCCTCTATAAMCACTTGTTACTCATCCAGAAACCATCCTGGACATTTGATTATCTTTGCTGTTCTTCTCTGCACTTTGTGCAGTTCAGTAGTATCTTTGGTAAGATGAGAGGACTCTAAGTTCACTGTTAATTAGTTCATTCTTAAACCCTATATTTAGCATTTCTTGCATGTGTTCCTGAGGTCCTAAAGGAGGACAGTCACATGAAGATAGAGTGTTTTATTTAATAGCCAAGATTTCAGACCCCGCAARACACTCTGTCTTTCATGTACCAGAGACAAAGCCCCAGATTATCCCATCATGAACAAGCCAAATGAAGAGAAAGCAAAAACAACCCAAACAACAGGGAAGCAATGTGATATGAAGCATTTTAGTTCRGAGTTTTTAGATTAGAAACAAAATAAGCTTTTTCTCTCTGTTTTGCAGGGGSCATCACAGATATGTGTGTGGCTTATACTAGTCAAGTAGGAGATAGTATGTTGTCATTATCCCACAATCTTTTTCCAGTTGTTCCAGGAACTCATTAACAACAAATAGTTTGTTTCAAAAGAGAGTGTAAAAATTGTTCCAAAATAGTTCTGTGTTGTTGTCCTTCTACACCAGCTGTGGCTTCAAAAACAATTTAACCGAGACTTCCTAATAACCCTCTAATAGACTTTGATGAACCTATCCCAGGAGACKCCTTTGATCCTGACCTGGGAGATGAGTGTTCAGTTTTATATTATCATTATTATTATTGTTACTATTATATGCATTTCTTTCATAATAATGTCCTTTGCAATCTCTTCTGCCAATGTGTTCCAACAACATTAGCAGCAATGGTCTGAAATTTTGCTGTTGAGACCTTTTGCATGCTGTGGTCCTGTCAGGATTGGTTTTACTTCCAGCTGTTAAAGGGGAATGTTTATTTTTAGAAAACAGRAAACTGTTTATAACCTCAATTTTAAAAGTGTCATGAAAGTACTTCTGTTCACATGATTTTGAATAAGCTGTGTATAATCATCTCCCTTTCTATATCTATTAATTTTTAAATTTAATATAATTTAAATGCAAATTAKGTTTTGATCCTCAGCCAACATAATTTCAGTGAGGAAAATAATCAACTTTTGTAATTTTTTATAATTTTACTTTGTATATATCTCAATGCTATTTTAAAAAACTGATGTTTTCTTTTTGAAATTTTAATTGTTCTGTGGGTTCTTATTTTACTAGCTATACATGAGTCAGTTTGTTTTCAAATTGTGGTCTGAATTAACATGGGGCCTGAGAAGGAAAAACAGAAATACATTTTGGCTACCTCACTATCATGGGTTTGTCARTCAGGCTTAATCTAATAGGACGTGGTATTCATGCGGAGTTGACCCAGAAAACAGTATTCCAATTGTGGGCCCATTTAAAATTTCAGCCACAGCTTTTGAAATGGAAGTCTTTCTTAGCTTAGGTCCACCAGAAATCAACACYTGTCTCATCATTGTGCAGCCTGGAGACAAAGCAAGGTATTAAAATAAATGAATTCACAGTGGAAGAGAAAATTAAATGTATTTTAAAATACCTATTTGAAAGCTGGGAGCTTTTCCAGTACRATAACTGTGGGAAAAAAATTATCTAGCAAAACTGTCAGTGAGAATCAGCTGAAACCTGGAAAGTACTCAAAAGCTTTCAGCAAACTTCACTTGCAATTTGCCTGGAGGAAGCAGAACCTGACAAGCATCCAGCGAGGTTACGCCAGCAGCCGCCTGTGCCCGCKCTGCAGCTCGCTGCTGTCCCTGCTCTGCTACCTCCACAACGAAATGAAGGATGACAAATATGTTCACTTGTAGTCTCTCATGTGGTACATCTGTCCAAACAATGGGCAGGATCCTTTGTGAGGGCAGGCACTGGCATCCTCTGTGCTGATGGAGTGGCCAGGGCGGTGGATGCGATGGGTCACAACCTCCCTGTGCAGCAGCAGCTGTTGGTGCTCCTGCAGGATCAGGCTGTACGTGCAGGGTTAGGTGAAGGAAGAATGTTGTACAGGGAGAGTTTTCATAAATTCACAAAGATTTGGGTTTGGGAAGTGACTGAGGAGGATGAAGCTTTATGGCTCAAGGGTTGCAATCATCTTTTGTGGGTGCCCCAGCTGGGGTGCCCAAATACTCCAATGCAGATAAATGAGAAGCTAAGGATAACTGCTCCCTGCTGGTAAACCTGTGCCTGAAATTAGGTGGTGGAAAGGCCTCTTCAGAAATGTCTGAGCCTGCCAACATTTGAATTTTATTTGCATTTGCAGGGATTACATAAAGGAGTAGAATTATACAAATGCCTAAGGATTGGCATGGGGAGGGTCTTAAGCAATCATGGGGTATTCTGATCATTATTTATTGGTTCCCAAACCCAGGTTTTAGTGGCTGATTAATTAGTT